GCTGTGCTTTTCCACATTGTAGATTTGGCTGATGGTGTCTTCAGCTCTAGAAATACAGGGATAGTCTAGGTATAGCTGTCATATGAAATGAGCATACTTCAATACATAAAGAAAAAACTGTTGTACAGACAAATTACATGACATTCAGCTTCAGACTAATCAAAGATTACCATTAATCATCTCATATGAGGAGGTCAGATAAGACACGCCATGTATAGTATCAGAGTAGCTGGCTTTTAAGCCTCTTAAGGTATCTTTAACCTTTAAGAGTGAATTTCATTTCAACTCATTTTAACAATGTAAAACTGAAGGGCCTAACCACATCCTGCTATCCAGGTTCTCTCTATAGTGAAAAGGAAAGATGATACATCTGGAGAATTATTCATCACATCCATATTAGACACTTATTTTAGGATCAGATGAGTCACTCTCTAGACACATCTCTCTCTGGTGATGGATGGAGCCTGGACACCCAAGTTAATTCAGGTATCTATGTTTTAAACAGCTAAAGTGAGCTGACATGACGAAAGCCTTGGTCAAAAGTCCATACAGAAAGCAGAGCATAGGGGATAGCAGCCTGTCAGGTACTATTTCTAAAGAGGTTAGATGTCTTCATCACCCTGAGAATGGAGTTTTCCAAAAAATCACCATCTGCATAGCAGCTGTTACCTCATTTTAATTATTCATGGCTAGCCACTTGCACTAAGGAGAAAGCTGATGGTGTGGGCAGAGATAAGAGTGAAATTTTTAAAATTATTTTGGTCTGACTTCATGGACTGCGTACTTGAGAGGCTGCCCGAGGAGATGTTATTTAACTCGTGACTAATAGTTCACATTAAACTGCAGACTAACAGATGCCAATATTTCAGATTAACTTACTGAACCACCAGGCAGCACTACTGCTAATTAGGGGAAGCATTACTCAAGAGGCTGTTATCCTGAGACCAGATCATGTACTAATAACCTAGACAGTGAGAGTTTAGATAGCACAATTGATATAATTATATTTCTTTTTAAATGCCTTGCTTAATGACCAATATCCATCATACTCAAGGCTCCAGCTGCCAAATCACTTATATTTTCCTGTGAATCATGGCAGGGTAAGCTTGCTTGAGGCAATGCAAGTCAAGTGTTTTTTAAGGGAGATAACAAAGAGCCATCAGCACCATGATCAAACAAGCAGTATTTCCATACTTAAATCACTAAATTATAAATGGAAAACAATCCAGAGTTTGAAAGATTTTAAATCCTAGTTTTAACAAGATACAAGCCTATGATGTTTTTGTACCTACATTAGGAATCTCTTCTGTGGAGAAACTCCACATAGGCAAATACATGCAAGGAGAACACGGCCCTCGGGGCGGAGTAAAGTTTTGAGACTTAGGAAGAAATGTAACAGGCCTCAGTTTCAAGGACAGACTTTCACTCCCACAGCATTCTCATTCACATTAAACAACACCAACAAAAGGGAATTTTTTTGTGGTGTTAAAGATCAAAAAGAAAACTATTCCTGAGCACTGTTATCATATACTATCCTCCCACCCCTCACTACTCACCTACCATGCACACAGCTCTGCAGAGCAGCAGTCACAAGATGTCTGCCAGAGGAGCACCAACAGCATTCATTTGTTCAGAGGAATCACCCACGCACCATTTTTGAGTTTGATCTCAATTAATCAGTCCAGAAGTGCATTTCTGCAGATAGCCTTGAAGCCAACACAAGACCAGAGAACGTTAGTAGCTGTGTTTTCTGCTGGCAATCACCATAGTTTCACGTTTCCAGACATGGAGCAGACCAGCTCCAGCTCTCCAGCCACCGCTCTCAGCAGAGCCTGAAGGACTCATTCCACATGGCTGTACAAGTACAGAAGTTTCCAGCACAGCAGCATTTTTGTTTCTTTCCTGCTCTTACCGAAGTCAGCTTTTAAAGAATTAAAGAAATATTACCTTTTCAAATTTTCTCACAGCCACGTGAGAGAGACACAACAGAAAGGCCTCTGAGACCACACACCTCCTGTCCCCCATTTTACAGCCCACAGACACCATATAAACTGCCCCCTTCTCCCTTCTAAGATAATAAACGATTCAGGAAAACAGCTCACCACACACCCTCACCATCTCCTCCATGCTGCTTTCCCCCCCAAAACACCCAGCCCAGCACTCAGACCACCTCCTCAGCTATTGCCACCAGAAACAGGCTTCAGCTGGCGCAGGTTGGGATTTCAGCGGGAGGGGAGGGGGCAGCCTCTCCTCCACCCCCCCAGGCCTCCTCCCTGAGGGGTGCGTGGCACCCACACATGTGTTTTCTCCCGCCCTGCCCCGTGCCTGTGAGTCACCAAAGCCTCTGTCTGCTGAGATGGCTCTTCCAAAGACTACCCTGTATCTGCTGATGGACAGGCAGTCTTTTTTTGGTTTTCCTGCTTCTAAAATAAGGGGGTTGTTTTTTGTTTGTGTGTTATGGATTTTATTTTCCCCTCTTAGATGCCTAGGAAACACCGTTCTACAAAATATTGCAAAAACTCATGGTTGAACTCGGTGAAGGATCCAGCCACAACTTTGTCTCTGAACTGCTGCAGCAGGAACAACTCTAACACCGATCACATCATGGCAGCAATACTTTTAGAAAGAAAGTTTCCCTCCAGTGGCTTGTTTTATGTGCAGAGTGCAGGATTTAACTTTTTCCAATATGAGAACTTACACAAAGGCTCCAGAGCTCCAGTATTTCATTAATTCCAAGTGCACACATACCTTGAAGGGTAATGAAGACACTGTCTCTCATGTTGGTGTTTGGCACCATCTCACTTGAGAGCAAAAGAAAGAGCTCTTTTTATTAATTCCTGTCCTCCAGGATGGCATCTGGCAGCTGGTGCTACGGAAGGCTGAACTTCACCTTTGCAAATGCCAAAGCTTCGATTTTAGGCATTTGAGGTTCAAGGACTTAGCTCTGCTCAGTATCTCATAAATAGCACTTTTTTTTTTCCCTGTTCAGTCCATGGTTTTCCAAAAGATGCACTCTTCCCAAATGTTGTCCTTTCTTACTATTTAGAAGATGTCTGAACAAAGCACATGTCTTACTACTGCACAGGGTAGGGACTGCACATACTGCAGTTAGATCTTAATGACTTACCTGACCCCAAGTAATGAAGGGTGATCATCACTACACAAGTATTACAACAAAATGCCTATGCTCACTCAAACACAGTCTAGTCATTGCAGTCAATCCTGAGGGTCAGTTTAGGAAAAGGCTGTAGAAAAGAACTGTGCAAAAATTTACCTTTCTTTTTTCCCCCTTTTTTTCCATAATGAAGGAGCCTGTCTGGCACTCAGTGTCAAAAATGTGTTTTTACATTTGATGAGCAACAGTTTTCCAATTTTTTTTTTTGAATAAAATGATGTAGTTGAATTTTGCATTTCTGAGAATGAATGGGATAGAATCAGAAAAAGATGTAGATTGTCAAAAACCCATATGGAGGTCTTCCTTAAGTTAATATTAGATTATTAGTATTAGTGATAGCAGCAAACCCTAAAATTAACCATGTGCACTGCTGAAAAAGAAATTAATAAACACAGTGTTCTGAATCACATGATAGTAAACTGATTTTACAATGATAGCAGTATTGCAACAAAATAAGACTTCCTGTTATTAGATACTGTAAGAATGAAATGTACAGTATACAAAATTAATGTGTAAAAAATGTTCACAATTGATTTTAACAACACATTTTCCTTGGATTAACTGCAGACCTGCAGCTTTTGAACACATGCAGAGATCCATTATCTATATTTGGATCTCAAGTGTATTGCTATTTGATATAATTTTCATGTACAAAATGAAAGCTATTCAATTTTTGCTGGATCCTGGTGGTACTTGTTGGAAAAGAACAGAACAGAACAGGAACATTAGCTTAGAGGAGAAAAAAAATTCATTCATTAAAACAAATTGTTAATTGTTCAAGTTCATAAGCAAAACTGCTTTTGAAATTTTAAACCTTACAATTGTACATTTTCAATATCAGACACTTGCCATAAGAAGGTACATTCTACTATACTGATGACAAAGATTTTCAGCTTTTTCTTTTAGAGAGATACATAGTCCTGGGTTTCTTTTTCCTAATGGATTTTTACATTTTTAAAAATAGTGTTGAACAAAGTTCATTCTCCTAAAGGAACAGTTTAGGTATGGTGCATTTCATAAGCTGAATGTTTTCATTTAAGTTATATCTATATAAAGGAATGTAAAATGGTTTTAATTTGTTAAATCTCTGTATTTTCAGTTTACGTCATATTGTTTAGCAGAAAGATAAAGTAACTAGTAATCACTCACCTATATAGCCTAAAAACATTCTATCTGTTCCATACATTATTTGCCATAATGCTTTGCACTACAATATGAAATACACTAGAAATGATTACCAGGGAATATTACATGCAGTTATCAGTATTGACAATGTTTCCCTGATGAAAAAAAATTAAAAATCTTGAATTTAAATTCTTATACATGCTCTACTTTGCAATAGGAATATGATTTAAACTGAAAATTCTTCTCCTGTTGTCCAAACAATTTTTCTTACAAAACACTGAATGTATTTGCAGAATTGCAATGCATTCAGACTAGCAAACTGCTTCCAGGTATGTCGGTCAATGATTTCAAACAGGAATGGGTGCCTGACAAGAGTGGGTCAGCATTGCAGAACAAAACAGTGTTCTTTCTCTTGAGGTGTCTCTAATGTAAATCACCTTTTAGAGTTGGCACATATCACAAGAACGCTTAAAACAATCCCTGTGAATGAACATGGAGACAAATCACAATACAAACAATGCAAAGCCATTCTTCAGAAATTTAGAAGAGTCCAAAAAGGTTTTTACTCCTATCTTTTAGCTTTAAACTGGTAAAACTCAGTGGATTTGGTATTGAATTTTAATACATAAACAATTCAAATTATCTTATGCTGGGAACAGCTAGGCTTGCTGTTTTCCTTCCTTTTATGTCTGGGTTTTTTTTAAGACCATTGGCAAGAACAGTCTGTGGGCTCTTGGACTGAATAACTGACCCAGGTTGAATTACTGGTGCAATACAACGGCACAGTTCGTCTCTGTAGCCCGAGCTCCCTGCAGCATTTGCAGAATCTTGCGTACGTGTTGATGTTGTAGTTGTAAATGCTTGCAGACGGGCACTTTCCATCACATGAAACAATGTTCACCTGGTAACAAAACCCAAAAATAATCAGCAAATTGAAGCAGTTAGAACATGAAGTTAAGAGTTCTCAAGAAAGTCCAAAGACATTAGACACCCAAATCCAATGGCAAAGCAATGAAAAATTGAAAATATGAAATCGAACTACATCCAAGCAATAAACTCTGAAGTACACTGCCCAGACAGGTCTCAGGTTTTATCCGACCAAGCTTGGACTTTCCTGTCCATTTCAGTAATAGCAGGTTTTGGCTATTAACAGACACAAAGAAACAATTCCAGTTTTGAATTTTAAAGTATTCCTAACAACCCTGACTTGAACATACACCAAATGTTGTCTGCAACTTCCTACAGTATTAATTTCAGTGAAACAGTGATGCAGTGTTGCTATACTGCTATCACTAAGTAGGAATATAAAGAATCAATCCTTTGGAAAGCCAAGGGGAATTACTACTAATGATCCCAAACTGGAATACAGACTGCAACAGAAAGAGTCATATACTGATAATTTTTTCAAGTTTAATAGCCAGGATTTGTGCTTCTGTTCAGTGAGACACTGAGACTAAATTTCCTGGCTGCTCAGCAGTTTACTCTACAAAACATACTCTCAGAGTTATTTTAGAGGTTACAGCTGTTTCCTCATACTCTTTTATTACAGCTTTTCCAGGCGTTCTTGCACATCTCGCAGGAGACGTCTGTCTGCACCCTCACTGCTGCTCACACCGCCTGGCTGCCCAGCAGGACCTTGTTGGTGTCCTCCTACAGTAAATCCTTCGGTGGACACACAGATAGTGCCTCATTCATCCTACACATGTCACAGTATGCTCATGCTGCTGTCTGAAAAAAAACCCAACCTTCAAGACGCAAGATTCCTTTCTTTATGAAGCTGGCATTTAAATACTTTCCCCAGACAGATGGAAAACTAAACGCATTTGCAGCCATTTTAACTGTAGTATATCACTGGCAAGATACAGATATACAAAAGTTAATTTGCATATGATAATTGCATTATAGTGTGAACTGAGACCGTGGATTTACACTAAATCAGCACGTGCCTAAATGCACACAAAAGCATACGCCATATTCCCCTTTTTATTATTTGAGAGGATGATTGCTGAGAATGCAGGGAAACATTAAAACAGCTCTATGAAACACAGAAACCTCTGCCTCTGAAAGATGCAGACAATAGTTTTGTGGAATTGGTGTTCCCTTCCTTCCATGTGATTTTTTGTATTTTTTCCCTTCTATTGAAATAAATCATGATAGTTATTTACTTACTGGTGTGTTACTCCTGCAGTCATGCTTGCGGATAGTCATCCTAACAGTCACCTTTTTGCAGAATTTTCCATCTTCCTTACCTGCAAAATGGGGATTGGTTGAAAAATATCAGCTTAAAATATAAACATTTCAGAGACAAGAACAATGTTGAACATCTTATGACACATCAAGAGACACAGAGAAGAAAATACCAAATACATCCCTGCACATAGAAAACTTTGGCAAACTAATGTTAGCTATAAATTGTCACTTTTAACACTGTTCTGTGTCATGCATTTTCTCCTTATATCTTTGATAGCAATTAGAAAAGGATAAGTTTTTACTCAGAAACCTTTTAAGAATAAGTCCATTTGTTAAAAAATTGTTTTGTAAGAACTCTTGTTAATAATGTATAAAATGCATTTTCTATGAAATAACAAAATCTAATAGCACAATTGCATTCCAGTGGTATAAACAAAGTTTCATATGAACACTTAACAGCAGAATCTGATGAAGAAGAGGGCCTCAAGGGGGCTTTATATTTCTGTATGTTTTTATTAAATAAGAAAAAGAAGACCAGTAAAAAAAAAATATTTTTATTTACATTTTAATTAACATGGTCTCTAAAATTTTTCTCATAGAAGTATGTACAAAGTATCATGAAAATTATATGGAGTTAAACTTAAGGAGATCCTTAGCATTCGAAGAAAAGCAAAGAAGTTCAGTCTAAAGGTCAGCTGTTAGAGATCAGAAAGCACAGTATCTTCTTATGATGATCCTCTCTGTGCTGAAGAAACCACATCACATTGCAGATCTGCAAGAGAAATGAATAGTCCATTCCATTACGACAGCTTCCACGGTTTCACAGCATGTTGCACACTATGATGCAGTTCCACATGACTCTCCACTTAGAGATGTATTTTCTTTCAGACAAGAATTCCAGAGATGTTGACAAAAGGTGAATACTTTTAGCTCCAGAAAAGCAAGGGCAATGAAAGACTCACTGGTTTGACCCATGCCCAACACCAGACTGTGACAAAGGTTTATTACATCCTGATGTGCTCTGTCCAGTTCCCTGCTCTAATCACTTTCAAACCAGCTAACACTGCTTCTCAAAGAGAAGCATTTTTTGTGCCTTTTTTTTTTTAAACATAAAAGCCTGCTACTGTTTCTAGACATAGCAGGTTTCTAGAATGTGAAAGAGAGGACAGCAATGAATCTTCTTGGAAGCAAATAAAGATCTACAATCAGAAATGGCTAACTACTGCTGAACTACTGTTGAATTATATTCATTTAGGTAAAAAATAAATTGAGGAATTAAGAAAAAGAAATTGTTTATGAAAATAAACTCACCATTATTTCCTGTTTCTGATAGTGCTATTCTTGTCCTTTCTTCTTTTACATTCTACATAATGTGTAGGATGAAGAATTCAGCGCACTTGTGGTTATGACTTCATCCAGACTATAGTGAAAGTACATCATATCTCATAAAGAATAAATATATAAAGTATTTCCATGCATGTACTTTAATGTCCAGTGGCTTTTAATGAACTCAACATCATAATATACTTTTTCAGGGACCACCTTGTAAAACATGTGAGTATCTTATACGTGTCATGTTATAATGAGGTTCTTTTTCACAGTCTGTATGGTCGAAAATCCTTGCTTGGTTTTTGGGTTGACTCATAACACCATTGACATTTAAAGAGATGTCAACATGAAAGACTCATATAGGTTTCAGTGTAGTATTCCTAGAGTCGTGAGTGTAATTTCATGAAGGATGTATTACTCAGAGATGTACAACATTACAGTCAACACTGTTTCTTGTATAGAAAAGAGAGAGATGTTTTCACAAAATAAATGACAATTCATACCAATGTTACAATTCAAAAAATGAACATGCTCCATTAAAAAGAACAAAGATAATCTCCAATTTTTATGGAGTAAACACAGGCTTGCTATTTTCAGTGCACTGTCCTAACCTGCTTCTACTGTACATGCCACTGGAAGCAAAACTGTATGATATATCATCTGCAAAAATGTTGCTTACTTACTAAGCTTTACCAAGCAAAGCCATTAGTCTCTACAGCACTGTAAACATCATGGAATTGGGTTACATTTTTGAACACAGCAATTTTACACATGCAGCAAGCTAAAGACTATGCAAGTGCTTACTACCAACAGTACATTGTTGGCTAACAACAATGCACCGCCCACACAGTGCAAAATGAAAAACAAAACCAAACCAAAATATGAGCCACTCTGAACCATGGGCAGTTATACTACACTGCAGCTTTTGGCATAATTGGGTAACGACAGGCCTGATGCTCCTATCGGGGAGTACATTGTTGGAAATCAACAATGATGCTGTTTGGGTTGGTCCTACATATTTTCAGAAGAATGTACCTGTTTTACAGCTAGCATAGGCTGTAGGAGTGACTGGGCTAACAGGGAATGGGAGGAGCATAGACACTGCAGAACCTGGTAAGAATATTATATATTGAACAGAGTACATGTTACAGAAGATTCCCTATCAGTATGAAACATTCTGGAGGTAGTAGATTTCAGCACATTTCAGGAAAGAACTCATTACAGGATCACAGAATGACCGAGGTTGGAGGGGAGCTCTAGAGGTCATCTGGCCCTACCTCCCTGCTCAAGCAGGGATCGCTCTGCCAGCAGCTCAGGACCATGTCCAGCTAGTACTTGCATTGCTAAGCCTGATATCAAAACCAGGAAGAATCTGATCTGCATTGGTATAACTAAGACAATCTTGTACCCTGAATTTAAGTTGTCCTTTTGGGCCAAGTGAAAGAAATAGTATAATTTCCTCTAAGCAGTTTTTTTAAAAACTCTCTAGGTTTTGACGGAACTCCTGGGACTTAATTTTCAAATACCAATTAAAACTGAAAGCAAAAATCACAATAATTTCTAATGGTAAATTGCTTCAAAAGAAAATAAAAACCTGGATAAAAAACATCTCGCACAGTGACAAGTGACTAACAGCTCTCATGCCAGAATTGTTTGGAGTCAGAATGAGCTACATGGCTCACAGAGGTACAATGTTCCCTATAAACAGGTGTGAAATCAAAACTGTATAAATCCACTTGTACATGCATCCAGAAGTCACTGGATTTTTCAAGGATTTCATTTTACTTTGTGATGCAGACCCCACATTAATAACTTTTATCTTACTTATTTAACAGCGTGATTATGATCTTTAAGTATAGTAGCAAGATATTCAGTCTTGCTGAAAAGTAGCTGAGTGCATTTATAGTGGTCTTAATAAATTGTTCAGAAGCTGGCTTATATGGCTGCTAAGGCATCAAAAAGCAATGTCAGATAATCCAAAAACTCATCTGTAAGAGCCTATGGACGCTCAGCTACAGCACTAGAACTAGGACAAGTGCTTGAAACATTCATCAGAGTGAAAAATCATGAAGAGACCATTCCCTTGTAGTGATCAGGAGCAGGAAAAAAACACACAAATCTTCCACAGTTTCAATAAACTTTGTACTACAAAATGTAATACATAATGAATAACACCAAAAGGTACCTCCCAGTTGGAGAGATATATATATACACACATCTATATATATCTCCCACTGCAGCTACTGTGCACACAGTGCCATACTGGTATCCACAACGGTTTAACTCCCATCCCACCCAGCAGGAAATACATGCACTTTTCTCCAGCTCTCTCCCACAATATTCTCCTGCTATCATTAACTTTGAGGTCACTATTCCAACCACTTATGCAAATGAAGTGAGATTTTTGCACCTTTTTAAAGATAATATGATACTGTTCAGTACAAAGTCTCCTTTTTAATTGCTTATAACATTGTCAACTTCAAATATTCGAGCTCAAATTCTTCAGGTTAGGTGTATGCCTCAGGTTAAGTTCTTGAAATCAGCCATAAGGTTTCAGTTATGTACCAGTGTGTCAAGAAAAAAAATTTACTTAGCCCTTGATTTATACTAAGAATTAGCATATATTTTGAATATATTCTGTAGAGCTTTTTTAATTGTTCCCAGAGAACCTTTTTTAGCTCATATAGGTGTCAAAACATATCTTGCTAATCAAGTCAGGGAGAATGTTTTAACCGTAAATTCTTTTAGAAGATACTGCATGAAAGATTCTGAATTATATCTATTAATGTAACCTAAGACTATGTTACAGTTAATTATTTACAGCATTGAATTACCAACTGCATAGATACATCTTCATTTTTAACAAATATGAAAATATGAACATACATGAAGTGTGTTTTAAGGTGTCTTCCAAAACACAGTGGCTTTTATCATACTAAACGCAGCAACTAATATTTTGAGGAGTTTTGCATGAGAACTACAAAGCCCTCAAGGTAGCAATTTTACTGACTCAACCAGTCACAATCACTATCAGTGGAGTAAACCCTTCAATGTTAAACTACTTTCTTCTGATTTAACTCCACTAGTTTCACTGGTATTCACATGAGTAAAACTGGGAAAAGCACAGCTTATGAGAGAGGGAATTGAGCTTTCATGTAGGAAATAATCAACCTTATTCTAAGGTTACAACAGATCAAACAGACTTGTGAGGCAGGAAGTGTCACTAATCACTTACATGTTTTGCAGCATCCTTCTAAGAATGGCACAACATAGCCTCCGACCTGGCCAAGAGAGAAATAAAGAGGAAAAAACTTGATTTTTTCCCAAATATTACTTCCCACATATCTGCATTACTAGAATTATCTTCCAGATAAAGCTCTGCAATGTTATTCAGGGAAATGCAGCACTCTGGTGAATGGATAAAAGTTTGGCTGTAAATAACCTAACTTGACTGTTTTAGCACAAGTGATTATTAAGTGGCTGTCACTGAATGCCACTATACATGACCAGCTATCAAAATGTCACATTTGGAGAGCAAATGACTATGTTAAGTCTGACTCCATCATGTGATACAGCTGTAAACCCCTGCCTACAGAGGCATACTGACAATCACAAAAAAATGATTCTGTATTCAAAGCACAAAGAAATTTCATCTAAATGAGAAGCCTCCCACTCCCCATAGTGAAGATTCATAGCTGTCTTCAGTGCTGTAGCAAGAAGCACTCTCCAGAGCACTGTGGGAAGAATAGCTGCAGCCTTTAAAAAAACTCTGAAGATTACATTAAAAGAGTTCAATTTTTTATGTCTACCTCAGTATTCAAGCCATGCTGATCCATCTCTCTGCCTTAACTTTATTAGTTTGCCTAGAGCAGTGAAAAGCTTTTCACCAGCTATGTAGCATAGACTCTTTCTGAAGAGCCAATCCATTGTTATCTTCAAGCAAAATTTAGAGCCACTCCGTTCTTTTAGGACTGTTCCTTGCTTGTGTACCATCATTCATTACAGAAAGTATCCTCCCACCCATACGTAAATGTTGAATTACAAAGAGCATGATGAGATTGGTGCCTGCATACATTTCCTGGCACTTAGTCCAATTTCACCTTACAAATTCAAATAGACCTTCTGCTTCTGCTGCAAAACTAGTCCACAAAACCTTGTTTCACTACAGAAGAGATTTTCCTGACATTCAATCTTTCCTTTTCTTCAGTGTTTTTGACTATTGTGATGGATCAAATTGCTGTACATAGAAAATCAGTTAGAAAGGAGAAATCCAACCCAGAACAGCATCCAAGTTCAGACAGCTGTATGAGGACTCGTTTGATATTACAAGCCTCTATGAAAAAAAATAAATTCTGAGAATAAGAGGTCTCTCAAGCTGTGTAACTGGGCAGTCTGGTGGCATACTGTATGGGTATAGTCAGAGCTTTTCACCTTCAACTGTGTGGCGAAAATGACCAAGCAAGGATTTATAATTTCTTCTTTCTTGTGATTAAAACATACTTTGTCAGTGTTAATCTTTTCATATAAACATAAATCACTGGAATGCAAATAACTTATTGACCACTGACCTTCACACATTCAGTTTCGTTAAAGGGTGGGCAGCCAACTGAGGAGGAAACCAGAACTGGTCCCACTGCTGTGTTAGTGCATTCGTATCTGATGCAGTTTGAAATCCAAACAGTGCCAGGCTGTTATAAATGGTAAAACAGAAAGTCCATGAAATATAATGTTACACAAGTTATAAAATTCTCTATCAATATCCCTTAATCTTTGTAGAAAGCTATATGATTGACTCAAGAAGTTATGTACATGCAAAACTATTCCTAGTATTTGGCCAAATAAAGCTCTTCTTTGCACATTATATAGGGCAATGTTCTACAGTATCTCAATTTTTTTGTTTACTTCTAACTTTTTTGAGGGAATAAGACATGTATAAACTTACCTTAAAATTGGAAACTGTGCCATTGCTAAAAGTGTGGAGACAAGACAAGTTCTTACAGCTACCACAGCAGGTTGTTAAATCTTTTGGAGGCTGATAGACTTGGTTCTGCCAAAATCAAATAGATTATTTGTATGAGACCATCTTGTAGCTCGACATTTTACTACTGTAATGGACAGATTTTTTTCAGGTATCTCATTTTAAGGACAGTTGTTAAATAACTTTCAAAGCCACATAGCTTACATTTGTACACACTGTACATTCATGTAGCTTTTATAAAATACCTTCAATTTTAATCAAAGTAAATAGGGAGAAGTTCCAACCCTGAGAGAATGAACTGGTCTTTCTACCATTTTCAAATCTAAGTCTGACAGCTTACTTCAACAACCTCTGAAATTTTAGCTTTTTACAGAAGACACCAAGTACACAATTAGAAAAAGTAATCTATATAAGATTCCCATGACAACGTATCATACTTCAACAAAGGTATCATTTGCTTATTTTATAAAGCTGCTTTCAGCACATTTAGATTTCTTCTATTTATAATTAGTCTCTTCCTAATTCTTCTAAAGCTAATATCTGTTAGGAATTCACACCAGTTTGTGCATAAATGCAGCAATGCAAGGTGGCAGCATGCTATATATATTAGTTTTTATAAGGTTTACATGGGAGAGAAATCAGTGAAGGGAGCAAGACGTTTATAAACTTCTACCAGAAGTGGGGCGGCACATTATCAGAGAGAGATCTCATAGTTACTCTTTCCATCTTGTTCCTATGACTCTAATCTACTCAACAAACCCCAACAAAATGTAATGAAGACTATCAGCCACAATAAAAAATGTCTAAAAATCTGAATTTCTTACAGATTTGCACTTGACAGCACAGTCTACTGAAGACATGTTTATCCTGTAGTATTTAGTGGAGGGGTCGATCACATCTGTACAATAGGAAACATGGCAAACGCCGTCTGCGCTGTGCTCCACGATCGTCTGTCCAGGAAGCAGCACACCTCTCTCACTACTCAAGCAAACTTTGTCCCTCACTACAAGAAAACAGGAAAATAAATAGCATGCTCAGGACAATCAGCTTGATATCCAAACTCTGTAAAAAAAATTTCAAACAGTAAAACAGGGGCTGCAGGAGCTACTCTGTTGCTTTAAGGGTTACGGGTCAGATTTTCAAATATAAAATGTTAATAACAGTCTAATGCTTCACTACAATCACCAAATGTTTTAAAATACAACCATGCATAAAATTTATTTAAATGTATAATATTCTACTATCTGTACCACTGAAATGACAGTGCAGGCTTCTTCAACTGGTTTTTGTTTTTTAAGTTTACTTCAGGATAAGAAACATACCTGAGAAATGTCTTATTCTCCCACTGATTATTTAGGGTACAGAGGATAATTAGCTCAGAAGTTTAAATGTTCATTGTAGAAATCCAATCAAGGGCAATCACAACTCTTTTGGCCAAATGAGTGCCTCACAGGAATTATTTTTCCCTGAGTTTTCCCAGATGCTATGTACCATATTCTGAGATGAATTTGCATGGTGCAGAATGGTTCATCTTGTAAAGCACATAAGCATGTCTACCAGCTCCTGAGTAGTCTCATAATGGGTTAGTGGCACATTTATTTATGTGGACATTGAGAGTGTTTTAGTTTCTTGCTGGAGTCCTTACTTTTGCTCAGCCAAATGCAGGTTGCTTAGCCAACACCACCCAACTTTCCCAAAACTCTGTCTGCTATTTCCCTGCACAGACCTCCTGCTGCAGGAACTGACAGAATCCAAAGACAAGCCATAATCAAATATTTACTGAGGGGCCCTATTGTCTTGCCTTTTCTTACACTATTTGTGAATTATGACAGTCAATTCTTTCCTCCTCAGTACCACGTTCAGAGTGAACATCCAATTTACAATTCATAATTTACCTTAGCCCTTGAAAAGGTATTTCTTTGAATTAAATTTTCTGACTTACCACATTTGTACTTAACACAGTTACAGATATTTTCTGTACTGTTCTGAAACTGTTCATCTATCTGAAGTTTCTGCCCCTATGTGTATAAAAGCAGAAAAGAAACAAAATATAAGTGAAACAACAGTTTCTTATCTGTATGATCTTTTTTCTTTCAAATATCTTTCCTTCAGGATTTGAGTAGCAGTATCTCTTGTCCCTAGAAACCTATTCTGAATCCACTTTCAAGCACAGGGACATTTCATTTGGTAATGATAACCCAATGGGAATTCTTTTTACAGCTGCAAAAGAGGAATGGCTGTTGGTGTCAGTACAGCAGATGCTGAGGACAGAAAAGACTTAAAGGAGGCCAACAGTGGAGTGCACTGCTTGCCTTTGTACACAAATCTGCACACAATGTGCAGGGTATTCTTTCACATAATAACTTAAGGGTTATAAATTGTACTGCAACAGCACAAACATACTTTTTAATTTTGCCTTTTATTGTTTATACGTACACTTATTAAGATTTTTCTCTCAGTTTTCTGCAAGTCCTGATTCCTTATGTCCAAGTTTCTTCATCTATGGAAGTACTAACAAAACCTCTCACACAAAGCATTTTGAATTTCCTCTATAATAAAAAATGACTACTATTTCCAGTTCCTTCCTACAACTCCAAATTATATTTCTTATAAATTATTCCAATCACATTATTATTTTCTGGATAAAATAATGACAAGCAAAATCAAAGCATACTGACTGAGAACATAACCCAGCTATGCCAATAAGCATTTTTCTAATGCAGAACAAGTCACAATGAAACACTATAGAAGTTCTGCTTAGTCAGGGGTCTGAGTGCATGATATATGTTAACAAATTCACTATAACAAATAATATTAGAAAACTCTGGGGCTTTAAAACATTTAGTTCTGACATTTTAAAACCAAAATTTTATCCTTGGGTACATGAAAGCAGTTCCGCTCTATAAATACTTTTATATTTATAAATATAAATTTATGACAGGTTATGGTCATAAAAGCCTCAAAAAAAATCAATGTTATACAGGCATTTTGTTTGGAAAGATATTTAAATTTAACTAGCTTCTTACAGATGGGTATGTCTTCTTGTAAAGCAACTTTTAAAGAAAAAGAATAACATAGCATTTCATATTTCACTGATAAAACTATTAGTAACATACTTATAAATAGGTTTATTAATAAATTAATAAAAGAATACTGACAAAGAAGATGAATTTCATACCGGTTTGCACTGAGGTTTGGGGATAGTTTCGCATGCACATTCTGAAAAAAAAAGGCAAAATAAAGTAACAGAACAATATTTTAGAAAGTTAAATGCTACTTGCTTAAAATAGAGTATCAGAGAGAACAGAAAATCCAGATTTACAAGTCATCACTGAAAACTGCTGTTTTTTGAAATATACCTGTTTGGAAAGTCCAGAATTGTGTTTGATTTCTGCTCCATCCTAATAATAATACCAGCTTCTATGACCACCTTTATTTAGTACAACAGTTTACAGCACTGTATCATCTGCAGTCTGCCTGAACACATTAAAAACCAGATGATCATTCTAGCCACTGGCATCCGTGCCACGATGACAACCATTACAACTGACCTAAAGCAATGGAGAACTGTGTTTAAGGCATCATGAAGAGACGTATGATACACCACCACCTTTGCAACCTGGCAAAATCCTGACCTGCAAACCTAACCTTCCTTCTAGACATACATAACTCAGTAACTGGTGGGTTGGCCCTGGCTGGACACCAGGTGCCCACCAAAGCCTCTCTATCATTCCCCTCCTCAGCTGGACAGGGCAGAGGGAACACAGCAAAAGGCTCAGGGGTCTAGGTAAGGACAGGGAGAGATCACACAGCCATTACTATCAAGGGCAAAACAGACTACACTTGGAGAAATTGTTAATTTATTATCAATCATATCAGAGCAGGATAATGAGAAATAAATCCAAATCTTAAAATACCTTTCCCCACCTCTCCCTTCTTCCCAGGCTCAAGTTCACTCCTGATTTCTCTACCTCCTGCCCCACCAGCAGCGCCAGGGGATGCAGAATAGGGGTTGCAGTCAGTTCATCACACACTGTTTCTGTTGCTCCTTCCTCTGCAGGAGAAAGACTCCTTACATTCTTCCCCTGCTCCAGCATGGGATCCCTCCCATGTGAGACAGATCTGCACAGAATTCTCCAGCATGAGTCCTTCCCACAGGCTGCAGCTTTTTACCAGCTGCTCCAGTCTGGGTCCTCCATGGGGTCACAAGTCCTACCAGCAAACCTGCTTCAGTGTGGGCTCCTCTCTCCATGGGGTCACAGGTCCTGCCAGAAGCCTGCTCCAGTGAGGACTTCCCACAGGGTTACAGCCTCCTTCAGGCAAACACTTGCTCTGGCATGGGGCTGCAGGTGGGTATCTGCTCCACTGTGGACCTCCATGGGCTGCAGCAGGATGGCCTACCTCATGATGGTCTTCCCTACAGGCTGCAGGGGAATCTCTGCTCCAGCATCTGGAGCACCTTCTCCCCCTCCTTTGCTGACCTCGGTCCTGCAGAGTTGTCTCTCTCTCATATTCTCACTCTTCAGCTGTAGTTGCCCAGTTGCACAGCAACTTCTTTGCCTTCTTAAATCTGTGGTCCCAGAGGTGCTACCCCCATCACTAATGGACTTGGCCAACAGTAGGTCCATCTTGGAGCCAGCTGCATTGGCTCTATCAGACATGGGGGAAGCTTCCAGCAGCTTCTCACAGAAGCCACTCCTGTAGCACCCCTGTTACCAAAACCTTGCTACTCAAACCCAGTACACTAACTCTTACAAAATTTTCAAGTCACCTGGTTTGGATAGGCAAATTCTACAGTATGCTATTGCCCTTGTCAAATAAGAAAAAACAGATTTATAGGTGGCTTTTGAGATTAATTTTCTATATCATTTGTTCCTGAGCAGATAACAAAGGTATAGCTGGCTGAAAACAGACTTAAACCCAAGAAGTCAAAGCTCTTGTCAGTATCTTATTGTCTAAGGCAGTTAAAACCATTTTACCACATCTCCGGAAGGGGCAGCACTTCTCTGGGCTCCACACCTCCACCAAAGACATGCCTACCACACACCTGAATTCAGGACAACGATGTATTTCACAAACTGAAATTAAGAAAAACAAAGTCCACTAAACACAAGGTTGTCATATTTTAATGATCAGAAATATGAATCAAGAGGTAACAAATTACTTATTCATAATAAATACCTTTAGAATATATCACTTGAAAAGACTAATAATCAGAATTTAATCATTAGCCATCAGTTAGCCATCAATCGTTAGGTGGTAGTAGCATGGAATATAACTACCCTAGGGAAATATTGAAAACAGTTTTAAATCTCCAGAATTTGGGGCCTGAAATTATTAATTTGTCTCCATGATAAAGGTATTCAGATAATGATTTAGGCACAAGAAGTTTAAAAAGCAAAGACTATTTGTTCAGGACTACAGATGATATCTTGCTTATATGCACAAGTGGAACTGTATCTCTAATTCACCATTTCTGACACTGAACATCCACACTGTAAATTTGACATGTTCTTCATTACTTAAAATATCAAAATCAAGTTGAACTTACTACACTGGTATGTAGGGCAACAGCTCTCTGTAGTGTTGCCATCCACAATAAGAACTTCTCCTTCTTGACATTTGGGTATTTGATCAGAGCAAGGCCCGCATGCTGGAAAAAACAGTTATTTAAATCCAAAACACAGTAAGAATTTTTACTACTGCCTAGGAAGCATGTCCTTAAGTTTGTCACAGAGATATACGAGAGAACAGAGATCGATTGCGTTCATCCCTTGTAGTCCCTATACAGGAGACTAGTTTTCAGTGCAGCTTGCCTTTTCTATGTCCTCTGCTATACAGAATGAATACATTGTTTGTGAGTCAGATCACAGCAAACAGTATTTTCTCTTCCTTTCTGTTATGACAATTTCTTCAAGATTTTTCTCTCCTATGAAGTCACCCTGTTGTTTTCAGGAATGCTCCTCTGCCGGAATTACAGGATTTTTGATCCCAAAAAAAGGGCATCTCCTGTGATCCCAGTGTTACCCTCCCACTAGAACACACATGCAAACCACATCAGACACTTTTCAATACATACACTGCAAAGATTCATTATTTCAAAAGAGACAGAAGGATGCTGTGCAGACAGCAAGAAGAGTTAAACACAGCACATCACTATCAAATGATCAAAGTGACCTCCTGATTACTGTAACTGACAGAAGTGTCATTCAAGTTTTCACTTAATGCTCAAATTTTTGCACATGGAAGAGCTAATCAGGATGACAGGTTTTGATTTACAGGTATCTACGTGCAAAAATAGAGTGAATTTAATAGGACTTCACTGTCACATTATCATACAGAAAACAACTGCATGGTAACATCAGAACTCCTATATTGATGCAAAAAATACAATTTTCTTATTGAATTAAATCATTAAAGGCCAAATGTCAAAAGAACTTAACAAAAAATCTGCGTAATGCTCTTATATGGGATATTTACCATTGATGAAGATGAGCCATAGCTGATACAACAGGACATAGGGAGAAAGAACACACATGTAACTTCAGTCTTCTTTCAGATAAAATACTCATGCAGGTAGTCCCTGTACTGTATATGGACAGTCTCTCAAAAGCCCTCAACTCCCTCACCCGTGGACTCTACCACCACTCCTCAACATGACCAAGAATACTATACTCAGGGGGAAAAAGCTGGTTTTTGACTCTTGATGATTGTTGCCATTTCTTTTGTTTTGTAAACTTAATGACCCTTCTTTATTTTAGCCACTTTCAAGCCTTTCAACGTTGAGAGAGCTAAAGGAAGTGCAAGGAGACCTAACTGGCAATACAGTAGTAGATACCATTGCATATGCAAAACCACTTATATTCTCAGCCAGCCAAGACACTGTACCACATATGTAGGAAATGCAGCAGGTACTCTCCACCCGAGCAGCAATCAGTGTCTGATCATCTCGACAGCTTGGCATCTGCTCCACTGGTTCACATTTTTCTGGATCACATTCTGAAAAAAGTACAACAAATTTATTTCTTTGTACAAAATACAGCATTCCTCCTTTGTTATGCTATATCCCTAAATAATGGCCACACAGAGCAGAGAAATACTACAAGATACTTAAGAAAAACTTTCACCTCGTATTGCAAGAGACAAAGACATTCTCACTTGATCATTAGACTCCATCACTACATCTGCTCAAACTGAGGCACAGACCAACAGCTTTAGGATGACAGAGAATTTTGTAAATGGCTATAGTAACAATGACATCTACACTAATTATCTCTTTGCTTCTAAGTTCATCTATTTAGTTTACTGAATATATTTTACAGAGTGAACTTTTTTACCTTTTCAAAAGAAACCTACCACAAACATAGTCGGGACAACAGGATTTTTCATTGTAGTAAGTGACCAGCTTTTCCAAGCCATTACACTCAGGGATTAGGGGTTCACAGAGGCTCTGATTACAAACTGTTACATAAAGGGGAAAAACAAACAAACAAACTTGTAAACTATTATATGCATTTATAAGTTGAGCAGAGCAGTGGCAAGCAGTTATTTGCAGTGTGATACCTTAAATGCATCACATTTTACACCATGCATCACATGCAGAGGAAAACCACAACAAACTAGCAGAAACACCCAAGGCAATCTTCAGAAACATCTGGCTTCTTCAGATGCAACACTCTCCATAGAGGCAAAGTTAAATGAGAGATGAGTCCTTGTGAGTATTTAAAAAAGAAAACAAAACAAAAATTCCCATGGAAAACACAGTAACATCATCCTAGGTGTTCAAAACATGGAGACAGATTGCAATTTCTTTTTGAAGATAGACTTTCTAAGCTAGATAAGGATTAAAAAAATAAAAGCTTTTATATCCTTTTCTTACTGCTCACTTTGTAAATTAGATAAACAATCATCTAATCTTTATCTCAGAATTAGTTATATAATTTATTTGTATTTGGATATAAAAAAAAAATCAGTAGCCTCTACTGTAGAGAGAAACACAATTCATATCCACATAAACACAGTGCTATTTCAGTCCTTTTAACCCTTGTCCCCTCTCTCTACCTCTCCCCAAAAACCTACTGGATATTGAGCTAAATAGTACAAAGTTTCTAAAGTTTTCTACATAATCTGCAAATTCAAATCAAAGTCATTTCCATTCACTTCAAAAGAAGGATGTAACAGGAAAACAAACCACAGAGAAAGGCTATCTGTATGTTCTAGTGGGCAGTACTCATACTCACTAAGGAATACTTACTACAGATCTTCTGAGGACAGCACATCTGATCACCAGGAACAAGCAGGGCGACTTCTGCAAATCGCTGACAGTCTAAGGTGTGGGTATCTGAACAGTTGTACTCCACTGGAATAATGGTCTCACTGTCAACACATTTTTGCCTACAGCATCCGCTCAAAGAAGTTTCCCAGATCTCACCTACTGCATGAGGTGCTCCCGAGCTGTCTGTACAGGCTAGATCAGGACAACAGAAAACAGAAAAAATTCCTTTTAACTTCAAATTTTGACCACCATTTTCTTCAACAGCAAGTGTGGATCTATGACATATAAAAACTCCCAGAGTTTTAAAGGCATCACCTATCTCCATCATCCCACAAAAAAAGTGAAAGAGGAGACAGTCTTAGGCTTTGTATGGGAAAGCAAAACACTCAATGCCCTCCAGAGGATCAGGGCCTCCACTTTGTTTTGTACCCACACTGCACAGCTAGTAACTTAAAATCCCAATCCAATCCTTTGTTGATCTGAAAAGAAGTTACTTTTGCATTTTGCACAGGCAAAAAGAATTATTACTTTACAGTGCTTTTTGTAATCTGTTGTTATTATAATTGCAACTTTAAGGTTTGTGTTGTTAGTATCAAGTATCGGTCCACAGTTTGTGTGCTCAGGCAGAACTGTAAAGAAATTAAATATAAATGCTGGCAGAAAGAACATAGGACATGTATTATTAAAAATCTGTAATTAACTAATGCTGCCTGCTTTTGAATGCTATTTAGTATCAACAGGCTGGAGCCTTGGCAAAGGTCTAGGTGAAAAGGAGGCCAAGACTAAGAGAATACTACAGTGCATAAACCTAAGCAAAAACTTCCATTTTCAAGAGCATCCTCCAGCTGACAGGTGAGCAAAATTGTACATCACAAGGACATTCCCTGCTTGCTCACCTGTACAGTTACTGCTCACTGAATATCTAGAGTCCTCAGGTGAATGACATGCAGAACTCACACATCAGAACTTGACTTATTAGAAATGAATATCTGACTAACAACTTGCAGCTAATAAGGAAGAAAATCACATCTAAATATACCACATTTTTCTTCAGGAATACAGACAGCAGTGTGAGCTCGGTGAAGGATGGTCCCTCCCGCACAGACGCAGCCTTCTGTCAACACTGAGCAGGAGTCTAGGTCCAGAGAAGCAACTTCATTATTCTGACAGGTATCTGGAACCTCACAGGCAGCTATACAAGCCTGATAAGAGAAGTTTTCAGAGCAGGGGAAGGCTAGAAAGGAAATAAACAAATCACTCATTCTGAAGCTGTAATCACAGGAGGCAGTAGCTAAGAGAAGATGTTATTGCCTTTTTGTCAACTTCCTGTGCTTGCCAATTGAGTAGGATCTACCAACCCAAAATGTTATACAGACCAGTTACCTTCCACATGACAAATTCAAACAAAAGAAAGTTGCAAGCACTTTTACTTCTCTTCTTGTAGTAACATTTCCTCAGGCTATGGTTTGCATTTTGGCAGTAAAGACATCAAACCATACAGTGCTGACACAACATATTTTAAACTTCAATCGTGTTTGCAAACACTACATACATTAATAATACAGTGTTCCGAATCATTCCAAACACCTTGCAGTAGCTAGAGAAAACACAGTGATTACTAAAGGGCAAAGCTTTGTCAATTACAAAAATATGTATCTAAAGGCAAATTCAGCATTGTTTTACATGAAATAATAAAGAATGGTGGGAATTCATTACTGTATTTAGCAGATATCCACATTAATCACTTTCTTGTGTGTTTTTGTTATTATTAAGTCAAAGAACATGGTTAAGTGTAACATTCTTTGTACCATTAATGTAAATTCATTGGCATGTTATGTGTGCATGCAGGAACAGAGCAAAAAAGCATCTCATTTTGATTTAATTTTTGCTGTTGAAAACTTAACATGATCTTTCATTGGTTGAAAACAGTGGTTAAAGATGCATAAATATAGCAGAGAATGATGACAAATGCCACAGTGTAGTTCTGTGAACTACCAAAATATATGATCCTCACCATGTAATGATACCTAAATCATACAACAACACCATCTGGAATCAAAAGTCCAGTTCATAAAGGGACTGTCTGCTCAAAAATAGGGAAGGTTCCAGTTTTGGTTTTAAAGATTAATTGGGAGACGAAGTTGATTTTATTCAACTCCTCACTACTAAAAATGGCCATAATGCCCCACAGGAAATATCTGTTAGAGCCCTGTAAACAGAAGAACTCAGGCTTTTAAAAATCAGTCTACAGCATATCAGCACATAGCGACCACAAAATCCAGATGCAACTTAGTAGTTCTCTCTTGCTAGGCTGGCACCACCGGAGGTCACTGTGGTATAAAGGTTAAGAAGGTGATGTGTCCCTTCACAAGGGGTGGAATACACACCTATATTTACAGATATATTTTGTAAGGTCTCTTTTAAAACAGTTATTTGCTAGTAAAACCCATAGAAATTGCAGATTGTTTTTTAATTGACTGTTTTAAAGCTTTCGATCCCATGACTATTATTTGCAGGGCATTAGGACATGCCTGTACACAGCCTGTACACATGTACCACCCTAAATCACTTCTCAAAAAGACAGCACTTATGACTTCTGTGCAGTGCGTTCTCTTGGTTTTGTGGATCTCTCACCATCAACTAGTCTTTCCCTTTCCAAGCACTGACACCACAGACTTCCCTGTGTTATCATTGCATAGGGCTTTTCCTAGGCAATCATTGAGAGCGTAAGAGATGCTCTAATCCAATTTTTCTACTTACTGAGAACCACAGATACCATTTGGCCTTAGATTTTAGTACATTGCTATGGAAGATGTCTTCTGCCAGGATACTCTAAACTCTCAGGTTTTACTCCTTACTTTCCATCTAATCTCAGAGTTGTTTCATTTCCCTAATCCCTTCTTCAAAGACACAGATACTGCCAAATCAATGTACCACAGAACTTTCTTTCTGTGGCCTCCTCCTTTCCACAACCAATTCTGTTGCGTTTTCACACACTGCTTTGAATTGTATCATTAAAAAATGCTGATTTTATTATCTCAGCAATGGTGACCAATGCACACGAGGTCTCAAGATGCATTGGTATTTTCAGCTTACAGTAACTTTTATTAAGCAAATGCAATGACCATTACATTGCAAGTGAGAAGATTTTACTTCTACAGTTAGGTTAAGTCAGAGGTAGGCTTCTGAGCAAGGTTCTGTAGCTTACCATTTCCATCTGTGAAATGGCTGTAACAATCCCGATTCCTGCACACACTGCTTTGAATTGTATCATTAAAAAATGTTGATTTTATTGTCTCAGCAATGGTGACCAATGCACATGAGGTCTCAAGATGCATTGGTATTTTCAGCTTACAGTAACTTTTATTAAGCAAATTTTGTCTCTGTGAACACTAAGGTATGCATACACACAGGGTACTTACGACAGTAGTCAGAGCTCCTCCATTCTATACAAATATTAAACTTGTTGCACATTGCCACGTAGGCAGCTAGTGAAATGCATGGATTTCGGATGTACTCAGTGTCTTGAACCCATATATCACAGAATAACTCAGGTGGAACCTAACAAAGAACATAAAAAATATTGCACCTTCATTGAGACCCAGCTAGGTAGGAAAACTATTGACCTTTTTACATAACAGCTACAAAGGAAGCTAAAAGTTCATTGTTGTAAAAAGAGAGTTTACTAGTATTTAAAAGTAAGTCTTCCTGAATGTTGACATCCTTATAGTCCTCAATTTCATCACTTGTAAGCATCAAGGCAAGAACTAATAGAGCTTTTCCACTGGAAGGCAGGATGTCTGTTTTTGGCCTCTTCTTCATCAAACTCAACAATATGCAGAAGGTGAAATAGTAAAGGTACTCATATGATCAGAAAGAAATACTTTATTTGCACAGTTTGTTATTTGCTTTAGGTTTGCTTTAAATGCTCTGTTCTACCCTCATCTCTCTAAGCTGGACCTCCCTGTCTCCAGAGCCTTTGAGAATGCAGGTTCTCAGATTACTTATTGCTGTTTGGAACTTGTTAAATTACTGAATGCTTAAGGATTAATTAAATCCTAAACCCATCCTGTTTTACTTCGCTCTACATCATACTGATACAATTTAAGTAGCTGGGACTGGTTTACAAATTAGATTATACTGTCAAAACTAACATATGTTATGAATTCTGAAAGTGGTAGTTGCTTATTTAACTCTCCTATCAAGCTGGCACACTCTTCAACTGTTTTTACCTTGCACCTACAGACACAAGAAAGTAACCATCTCATTCTACAGACCTGGTTACATGCAGTTTCACATTAATGAAATTATCAAGTATATGAAGTTATATCAGAATTGCATCTCTCAAAATGTAAGCTTCCAAAATCGTTCACATACATAAGGATGGCAGCTGCTGAAGGTCTGGTTCAACACCATTCTTAAGCACTCTGAGCAGTCCATGACTGAACAATTAGTTTCCTGATGCCTGTCTTCTCCAACATACTTTAACGTGTCTGGCACTTGCCAGCTGTCTATAAAAGTGGATGGAGCACTGCTTTTGCTTAAAACTGTCCTGTTGGGCAGCATCAGATCGTTTTCCAAGCTTCCATCACAAAACCCTGTGCATTAACAAAAGAAAAAAGCAGATTAACAATGCATGGTTCATTCTAAACTATGTTTGAAGTGGAATATTCTAACAAGTACATAGCTTTTTAATAACTTATACAACATGACAGCATCACGAACCTCAATTGACATAGAAAGTCTTCGGATGAAAATACACAAAATTCAGAAAAATTAAGCAAAGCAAAAGTAAAGATGCATCTATGAATGGAAATCTATTGTCTATCAAAGAGCTGTTCAGACAGCCCAGTTATAGCACAAACTTTAGCCCACAGTTGCACAAGTGCTAAACAAAGGCTGATTTTTAAAAAAAGGTTACAAAGCACCTCCATGTATAGCAACAGTGCAAAACTAAGGCTTCACATTGGCTTAGTGGGATCTGGCTGCAGCTAAAACTGACGTGCTTGTGATCTCTTCCACCAGTTTTGCTTAGAGATGTCCATGCTCCCTGCTCTCATTTGTCATCTCCTACACCAGCTCTTCACCAGTTACTACATTTGCCTGATCCTTCAACTACAAAAGACACTGCTGTCTTTGACACAGATCCTTCCAAAGGATGCTTGTGCTACAAAACTCTAATGGTGTCTTCAGTTTTACCCTTTCCATGCTGCTGAGAAATCAGGATCTGCCAATACTGCAGTTGAGTTAAAAGACACCTAAGAAAGCTCAAATACAAGAAGCAGACTGACACAGAAATCACAGGAGATGAGGGTAGACTGATTTACCCTGAGAAGGTGCAGTACAACCAGCTTATTTAAAACAGGCTCTGGTAAGTTGCACCAGACAGCACTGTGCAGGCAGTTTTATGCAGAGAATCCCAGTCAGAGATGAATGCCAGAGAGATATAGCACATTCTCTGAAAAAGTTGTACTTGGAACACTATCCACAGAAATGTGTTGTCATCTAGACAAATTGCCTTGCAAACTGGGAATGTAGTCTTCCCAAATTCTCCTTATCAGAGTAATCGAACAGGTAACAGCAGAAGAGACTCTCAGGACAACTTGAATCAAGCTCACTAAAAAAAAAAAGTCTTTACATTCTTTTTTCTGTTTGATTTAATTACAATAACAATTAGCCAAATGCAGCAAGAATGAAGTTGAAAACAGAAGTTAGGACAAATTATAGGTAATAATCCAATTTCAAAAGAGCAGTAAATTCAAAATCTCCTCCTTTGTGAGAAGCACATTACTGTCTGCAGGACTTGGAACTGGACTGAGCTAGCTCTGGCATTCGATACTGAGCTACAGGCATTTGCCCTTTCTGGAACTGGAAAGATATCCACTGTAATTATATGAACTCTGTAACGCTGGTTTCCAGCTCCAATTTGCAGCAGATACATTTACAGATTTAGGTATCACAGTAGGGATTTACATTAACAAATACACACTTGCAAAAACTATAGCACCAAGAGCTTATTCAAGGCTACGATTTTTAGAAGAAAGAAACCAGGTGAAACTATTGAGCAGAGTTAACAGAGTGCAACAAGATGGTTATTTAACCCAGTACTATTAAGAAATTCCCTCTGAACTACTTCCTCCAACAGATAAATCAAGAGTCATTCTCTGAAGTGAACATTTCCTGTGAATTCTGACCTTTAGAAACTGCAAATAGCACATATTGCTTCCTATCAGCTGGGTATCAAACACTAAATCCGCGTGCCGTTATTTGACGTCACGGACTTACGCCTGTCCCACTTCTCTGGGTTTGGTTACAGCAGTCATGCCTGTGATTACAACAGCTTGCAGTTAGAAGCAGCACTATGGGTAAAAAGTGTCTGCATGGATAGGTAATAAACATAATTTCAACAATTAAAATTAATAGTAATTTAATTTTAATGGTATCTTAAACTTTGCAATGACCTGCAATAACTGGTTTTGGTCAGATCTTGGAAAACAGAGTTTATATATTTAGGAAAATGTGCCTGCCTAGCAAAGCATCTGAATACCTTTATTTCTTGCACTACTCTGTACTTACCACATAGTCCCAAAGCTCGTGGTTCTCTGGTACTATTAAACTCAATAATCATCACACCTGTGCTGTGAAACCACTGAATTCTGATTTTTGTTGGTGTCTCAACTGCATACTTGAAGCCCGAATCCTCAACTCTGTATCCGTATTTCCTAACAGTTGGCCAAGCAAATCTTGAATTTACTGTTATCTAAATATACACAGAAAAGAGGTTAAGTGTCAGGTATCAAGTGCTGTAGGTAGAACTAATGCCAGATTCTCAGCAGCTTAGGAACCTAACTCATAACTAATTTCAAAAGAAGTCAGGCTCACCTCCACAAAGATAACACAGATACTGACTCACAGTTTATGTGACCTGATCTGCAACTTGCCCTGTTAACCATCCTTGTATCACAATTTATTTCTTTGAATTTATTAGCAGTTTACTAAGTTGGAACAATGAATTATATGACCTGTTGTGTCCCACTCAATGCTCCTTCAGTATCCACATGAGAAGGCAGCTGATTGCAGAAGTAAGATGATACCTAGAAGTTAAAGAATGAACCCTCAAAATACTTACTTTTCTACTTAAACGATTGATAATAATTTGGTTTGATACATAGGTTAGATTCAACATTGCCAGGCACAAAGATGTTGAACTTGTATTACTCTGTAGAGAAAATAAAAATACATCAACCATAATTGTAATATGCAAAATCTTGGTGTATTAGCTGTTTATTTGCTTTAGGTACTGGAACATTAAGGATTTTTCAGAAGTATATTTTTAAAAGAGGAAAACTGCTGATTGCAGTTTCAAGTCTGGACTACGAAGTTCATCTGGACAGAATTCCTGCAAAATAAAAAAAATACTGCAATCTCATTTTGTTCAGCAACTGTGATGTATCACCCAATCTCGAAATCACAACAGAAATAAAGTGTTTCAGGGGAAAAAAAAAGAAAAGCAACACTTGACTAGCTGTTCAGACACAGAAAAATATGAACTACATATTTGAAAGTGAGCATGAACAAGGTTGGGAATGCTGAATCTATACAATATACATACTGTACAAAAGTAATGGATCCGAAATATGTACATACTTCCTGAGCTACAAGGTGCTGAACAAAACAGAAAACACCAAATTCAACAGGAAAACAAATCTGAAAGTCATAACCAGATCTTTTTTTTTCATATTATATTGAGCTTCCAGAATTAACTTCCATAAGGTATTACTTGGGACCAAACTTTGTGATGGATATTATTATGGACATCAAAATTACCAGGCTTTCATAGCAGAGAACAATGACTATACATCCACTTATCTATCACCACCTTCTCTATTTCACACATAAGATAACATGGACCTACTGCTCACCTTCCTGCTGTTTCAGAAGGAATTATGCATATAAATTCAGGTAATAAACTGCTACACAACTCATAAGTGTTGTTGAAGTGCAAGTACAATGCATAGGTATTGTGCAAAAGTGAATAATTCACCACAATTATGCTGTATTACTGTGGTCTTTCATTTAAGACACATCTTATTAGCAGTACTGAACACCATTTGTTAGCTGATAAATGTTAGTTACCGTTCTACAGTCAAGGACATGGACAGTTATAGTTTCATCTTGAGTTTGACTAACAATGTAGGATGCTTCTTTGAATAAAGCCAAATGATTTCCATCATAGGTTACAATGCTCAGATCAGAGAAAATTGTGCAACGACCTAAGAAAAACAAAAATAAATTAACTGGTTTTTCTAACTGATTTTATCATTTCTGTAAACATTACAAAATAAGTATATAAAACAATATATTTTATAGGATTAACTAGCTTACTAGAGTTTCATATATGCAGTGCTTATTTTCAGCTATATTTGATACTGTTGCATCTCTGTGAAAGGACAGCAGAGTCAAATCCTGCATATTTCAGTTGGACATCCTGCACTCCTCTGCCATCAGTTACTTTCCTACAGTTCTTGCCAGCAAAGTTTGTAATTGTTACAAGTCCCAAACCAGCAAAAACCCATGAATGACAGTGTTTGATGCCGGAGCCTTAGCTCCCTTCTAGTCTTGTTCCTGAGGTGAAAGCTCACATGAAAATTTTCCTTCTTCCCAATCTTATTGCTAAAGCTTTTGTGTTTCAAAGGGTTTGGAGTTCTACTCCAAATACTTACTTCAAACTCTAGTGTGTAAGCAGACATTTTCATTGCTTCTCTTCATCCTTTCTTTGCTATTACAGACTAAATTGAATTTCCTTTAAGGTTTGGATTCTTTCTGCCCAATTCAAGGTAACTGATGGGAGTGACTACAGTACAACTATGCTTCTGAGTCCCCAAAACTGTTAATGGAGCCAGTTAACCGAGTGTATAGAATTTTCTCATGCTGAAGTAGATGTAAGATGAACCAAAAATCCACTGTCTGTCTTGACTGTGTGTCCTCTGATTAAAAAGACGACAAGATGGGCCTAAGCCAGACCTGGACACGTCCACTGCAGATATCTAAAGCTGGAGGGATAACCTATATGAAATGAACATGTTGATTTAATTTCCCTGGATGTAGAACTAGAACTAGAAATTGCATTAGGCAACAAGCAACCCATACAATAGGCATCTTGTGTTTCTACACCATGGTATAGAAGTGTCAGTTCTTAGCCTTCTTACACATGCATTAAACTGTTACCTAAATTCACTTGAAAAGTACTGCATAATTAAAACTTACATGCACATTCCCACTTTGGGCAGCATTTGTCACCATTCATTTGAGTAGCAAATCCTAAAACTCCACAGCTGGGTTGAGTTGTATTGTACGGGCAGGTCTGTGACTTATTAACTTGGATCAGTTGTCCATCCAAGCAAATGTGTTTTATGCACTCAGTGTCTGTAATGGGCTAAGGCATATTTAATAAAAGACATAGGTTACCATTCTTACCAAGATGGTATCACAACATTATAGAATATTTGCTCAAAAAAGGTGCTCATATTCTTCAGGTACAGAATACTTATGAATCTCTGTGACACTGATGGAAGCAAGACGTGAAGAGCACTTTTGAAAATCCAGTCATTCTGAGGACAACTTAAAAACTGCTGTCAGGCTGTAAAGCAGAGAACAGCACGATGCAATTGTCAGCTTTACAGGAAGAACAGTTGAGAGGGAGAAGCACGGAAGGACACAAGTAGAAATAAAGCATGTCTTTCCAGAGATCCCTGTTAAGGAGGACAACGTGACAAAAAACTGTCGTTGGGCAATGTTAAGCAGCATATTCTTCCCCTCTCCCCTCCCCAAAAAAATTCTTCTGACAGTCACACTCAGAAAACTGACACCTGAAACACTGGTTTCTAACACTTACAAAAACCATTATGCACAGCTTCAGATGTAATTGAGAAAGTAACAGAGCTCCCTGTTTGATACAGGTATTCTAAATCCTAAAGATCAACGTATGCACTGACAACACTCACAATGTATGGCGCTCGATTTTTCTTTTTTAACAGCGTGCAAAAGTAACCAAGAAAAACTTAAAATGGAACAGATAAATATTTATAGTTACTCACTGTGCAAGTTTGAAGAGTTGCTGTTTCTCTAGGCAGCATAAAAGCTGATGCTGTGACTCCTGACACAGCTTCAGCTGTTGCCAGTTCATCAGAAAATGTTGTAGTCAAGCCATGAAGCGGTTTGGTAGATACAGAGGCAAAACCAGAAACTGATGGAGCTGTTGTATCATTTGGATGGTCAGATACCACTAGCAGTGAACTCACAGAAGGCATTTGTAGCTCAGATGATATTTCAGGTTTTGAAGTTTGAGTAGTACTGACTGACGATGCAGCTATAGAGGGAAAAGGTTTTGATTCAGAGGATGAATGTATAGTGGACAGAACTGATGCACTTGCATTAGAAGGAATTGCTGTTGTTTTTGTGAAATATGGAGAGTAAAATGTCTGAGGTGTTTCTGGGGTAATGACAGCACCTTGAGTATGGACAGCTCGGACTTCCGTTGTTAATTCTGGCTCTTCAGGTTTTCCTGTATCAAGGGGCATGGCTCCTTTTGCTTCTGAAGTAACAGAAAAATAGGTGGGCTTCACAAAGCCTGTGATGGATTCTGTTACTGCGTCTGCTTTGCCTGAAGTTACTGATACAATACTAACATTTTGCCCAGTGCTGCTTATCACTGAAGAGGCTGAAGCTGCAGCTGATGAACGGGCCATAGCTGACAACGCTGTACTTGCTGGAGACGTGGGCCCATAGGTGGTGGCTGGCAGTGTGACTTGCTCAGGCAATGCCACAGTTCTCTCTGTACCACTTTTGCTTGTCGACACAGATGGCTCACTCACCATCACAATGGGAATTTTGGTTGTTTCTGCTAACAAAGCTGATGAAGAGGTTGACTGAGATTCCAATGAAGCTGTAGCTGTTTCAGATGTTTGACTTGAATCAAGTGATTCAGTAAACAAGGCCTGCTGTGTCAATTTTAGACCAGTACTTGCCTTTTGTGTGGAAAATGAAGGAACTGCCTCTTTTTTAATCGTCGTTAAAGAAGAAGCTGCATGCACTTCTGGCGAGGAAGGCAGAACTCTGGTGCCAAAAATCAAATCAGCTGTTGTTCTAGTTGGGACTGTAGACTGCAAAACAGACAATGTTCTTGATACATGTGGCTGTGTGACCGAATCAGTTAAATGCAACACTTTTTCAGTTGGTAAAATAACTCCTGTAGGACCTACTGAGGTAGGTAACATACTTGAATGAATGCCTTCAGGTAGAGAGGTGATTAAGGAGTATGAAGAAGTTAATTCTACTGTAGCTTCAGTTGTGCCAAAGACACGTTGTGGCTCACCAGTGGATTTTGTTAGAGTTTCTGCAGGATATTGGTAAACTGAGGTGGTGCTTTGGCTTAACAATGAAGGCTCAGAAGTCTGACGACCAAGTTCCATAGCCTTCTGAGTAGAAAAGTATGGTATAACCATGGTCTTTGTGGTCTGTACTGAAGGTTTATCTCCTGAAGATGTTTGCTGAGAGAAGGGGCCCACTGAAGATGGAGGAAAGGATGGCTGAGCTGTGACTGCTGTAAATTTTACTGTATCTGCTATACTTGGGACTGTAGATTTCAATGCTGTTGTGGTTGTTGCTTCTGGTATCATTTGTGTTAAAGAAAGCGAAGAAACCGATTTATCTGCTAGATACTGAGAGGTGGAGAAAGTGGCAGAAGACTTTGTTACTGGAAGTACAATAGAAGAAGACAGAGTTGATTTTTCTTTGGCATCATAGGATGTATGCATGGGACTGAGACCTGTCAAAGACATTTCTTTTGCATATGATGGTAGTGAAGGGAGAGAAATGTTTAAAGATATTAGAGAACTTGTTGAAAAAGGGGAAGCAGATGACTTTCTGGTAGAGATGCTAGTAAACCTTTCCATTTGTGATTTATCTGGCTGGGTTGTCAATGATGTGGTTTCAGTTGCACTAAGAAGAGGAAGTGGAGATCCAGTGACCAATGTTCTTCGAGCCGACTCCTCTTCTGTAGCTACAAAAGGAAGTGTGGTGGTTTCTTTCGATGAATATTCACTACCTGAATATGCTGAAGTGCTTGTCTTTGCTGTACTTGAAACCAGAGTTGACTTGTATTTGGTAGATGTTTTTCCAGAAAACAAAGTTGACACTGCTCCTGATTCAGAAGATGTTATTTTGGATGTTACCTCAGTTACAACAGGGTATTTAGTGTATAATGTCGTCAGGAACTCTGTTGTGTTTAAAACTGTATATGAGGGATATCCTGTAGTTGAAACAGTTTTAAATGTTTTTTTTAATTCACCGGAAGCTGGAGAAGCAGGAGTAGGAACAGACACTGAAGGTCTTTCTGTAGAAAGAGTGATGGATTTTTCAGTTGTAGAACTAGGATGCAGTGAATATGGAGGGAAATAGGAACTTGGCATGTGCTCCACATGAGATTTTGTTTTGGGAGTCTCCTTTGTATGAACTGTAAATGATAACAAAGTTGTTTCTGATGATGTCTCCTGAGTTTGTGAAGTTGTTGCCTTTGGACCTAGAACTGTAGTGAAAGGTACCTCTGCAGTACCAGCCAGGTGTTGAACCATTTCAACAGGAGATTCCGTCATTGCCTTTTCTAATGAAATAGTTGGTGTGGATGTTGGTGATAATGTAGTCCTCAGGCTTTGTTTGGTTAAAACAATTTCTGCTTCTGTTGTTGCTGAAGATGCTGGTTTTAACAAAGTAGTGATCACAGGAGCAAATGATGTTACTGTAACATTAGCTGCTGTGGTAAAAGGCTGTCCTAGGCTTGTATTCATCCCTCCTGAAGTTCCTGTTAGATTAACTGGTGGTGTATAAGAAGGCATGCTCAGAGGGGGTGATGTGGAAGGCTGGGGTAGATGTGCTGTAGTTTTTTCTGTTCTTGATTCAAATGGACTGGGCATAAACATTGTAAGTCCTTCTGGTTTTACTTGTGCTTCTTTTGTGGGAAGTGTTCTTGTGGCTATTTCTGATATTTCCATCATTTTTGTTTTGACTGGCATTTCTGTTGTTCTAAGTGTAAGCGGTGCCCCAGTAAAAATAAAAGTAGCAATTGTTTTGGTTTCTGATTCTGTGCCTGTAGTCACTGCATGTGTAGTAGTTACTGCCTGAGGTTCTGTAGCCCTCAATAGTTTAGTGGAACCACTACTGATCAGAGGTATCTTCATGGAAGTTTCTGAACTGAGAGTAGATGGGAACAATGAAGAAATGCCAACAGGAGAAGACAAGCTTACATTAGATCCTGTTGTCCTGGACACTGCTGTAGTGCTTCTCCCAGATGTCATTTCTGTTGACTGTGAAGAAATATTTGATGACAAAATTATGGTTGGAAGTGTTGCATTAGATGTAGCAGCTGAGACTGCAGTTTTCCCTGTAACTGCAGTGAGTTTCAATTTTGAAGCAAGTGTTGTTTCCATGTCCTTTGCTTCTGGTTCAGGAAATGAAGTTATGACTTCACTGATCACTGCCAAACTTGTACTTGATGAAACGGCTGGTGTTTGAATGCTAGGTGTCAAAGGGAGATTATAATCTGCAGGTTCAATGCCTGAAACCAGACACAAACAATAGTCCAAAATTAATGAATAATTATAGTCATAAAACTAGCAGAATTATAGGTGGTTATATAAAACTCTAACCTTTTCAGTTGCCTTTAAACTTCTAACATTTATAGACAAGTTAAAAATGCATTAAATCATTTGCTCCACATCTAATGTTACTGAAATGTTTTATGAAGAAAGAATGCCTTTCTTGGTTTAAAATCTGTCTCAGATTTTTGAAGAGTGAAATTATTTTAACCAAAATATATGAATCTTGAGCTCACTAAATATACAACTAAGGTCACAGGTACGTAAGTTTAATCACTGATATTTGAAAATTTGACTAAAGATCTAAGAAATTAATAAGCCAAGTATCATACATAATATATATAATTTTTCAAACATACAGTCTTCAAAATACACGCATCTTTGAGTGACTTCATCCAGCAACATATTGAGAGGACAGGCAGGGACACATCCTTCCACTCTGAAAGAAAAATAATTAGTATTAACTAATTGAACAGTATCTTTTGGATTAAGCATTTAAGTTTAGGAAATCAGGATTTATTTATGAAGTATTTTTAAGTAGAAAAGTCTTGCTCTACTTAGTTCTCATTACCTCAGTGTACTCCTTCAAAATCTCATTGCTGTGGCTTCCATCCTCACTTGGATCTAAACTAAAGCATGAACTCCACAATACTTGGCCTTTGAAATTAACAGCCATGGGATCCCTAGGGAATGCTAAAAGGAAATCCTAAACATGCCAAAATCCAAATGCCAGTTTTACCAGTTGCAAAGATTCCAATAGGCAGGAAAAAGCAAGGACAGACATGGCCGTTGTAATGCCAGAATGAAAAGCAGAGGCACAACTCTCTGAAAAAACACTTGTCATCACCTCTCTTTACTAATACTCTATAATAATGCCCCCCAGCATCAAAGTTACAAATCCAGCAGTCATGCCAGAATCTGACAATACTTGCACAACAATTGAAATGTCACTGTCATGTAGCTGCCACAGCAGGTTTTATTCCATTTCTGTTCTACTTCACTTCCCTCCTTATACAAGAATACAATCCTTTTAGACTGAGCCTGCACCTGGTCCTTCATATCCTTATCATGCTGCGTAAGTATGTTACCCAGATGAGATACTTCTCCATAAAAACACAGGTACTTACTTTGGAACTTCCTGACAGACTTTTCCCAAAGGGTCCCTGCACGTCTTGAAACAAGGGCTTGTACAGGCATCATAATGCCATTCACATGCAGAACGGGACAGAAATGTAAATTTGACATCTGAAAGCCAACGAAGATCTGTTACTCTCATATATTTCTAGAATTAGAGAGATCCTTACCTCTGAGAGGCGTGCTTCAGTTCACTGCAGCTCTAAATCTCTTACTCTTTCTACCTGTGTTCTCTACTAATATTGGTAATATTTTTTTAACTGCTAAGGTCTTTAAAACTTAGAAAAATAGTTTATGTTTATGCAAAGTGTACTAAAAGTGCACTGGCTCTGTAGCCTATTTTATTCTTTGTAGTATGAAACATTGATTTAGCCACATTTTAAAGTATATTACAATCACTTGAAAATAAAGCCAGGCAAGTTAGAGCTGTTGGTTTGATGTTTTAAAAACTTTATCAACAATGAAACTGTATGTTTGCTTATTCAAACAAAATGCAAAATTAAGATTATGGTGGTTCAGTACAATTACTGCTATTAGAATGAAAACAGACAGCACCAGTTCGGATACAGTGGTACTCTTTATAACACAGTGTATCATAATGGTTGTTTACTTGGTGTGTGAAATTTGTAGATATAGCACAAAGTTGACTATAACTTGTGCAATACAGTTGTATTTTAAAAGCCAAAACAAACACCATTCCAAATAAAGTTACCAGAAGTGATGCCAATTTAGGCTCTTTAAAGCAAAATATCTTAACAGTTGATCTTCTCAACAGCAGTATAAGATTATTACTCTGAGAGAAATTAACTCAAAACTCAACTTATTCTGCATCTGAAATTCTAACTGCCCCTGTAATGAACAAAGCAACTTGGATGAGATCAGACACCTAGTCTGGCAAAATTTAACTCAAAACACATACTACACCAGACAAAATAATACCAATAATTAAACATTGTGGCAAATGCAAAAGACAAAACCAACGAATCCCACCCCCCAACCCAAACTAAGCAGATAGTGTTTATTGAAAGACATACAAATTCATATAATTGAAACCCAAAGTACAAATTCAGAAGAGTTAAGCTTTGCAGTGAGAATGAACAGAAATAAGGATCAGCCACACTTCCAGTGCTTTATTAAACTATGCAGGACCTTTACAAAATGAAGGTAAAGAAGAAAGAGACTGTGTGTAAAATCTGAGAAAAAAAACCTGTGGCAATCATCACGCGTGTGACATGCCCTTGCCCACTCAAACTCAGTAGCACACTCTTACACTGCAACCCTGCCCCACACGCAGGCAGGACCCTTTCCCACACGATGCCAGGTGAGCCAGTGGCTCTTCCAGCGCCTGTGTGGATCTCAGTCCCTGAGCTACAACAGCCCCCCAGCTCCCTCCTGTAGCAGTGATGTATTTATGCCTATGGAAGGCCACCATCACGACGTACGTGTCCCCCTAGACTGGTAAACCTGACCCTAGAGCTACGTTGTTCAGAGCCTACAAAAACTAGCTGCTCTTATACAACATTATGTGAAAGACCAGAAAAAAAAAGGTTACTATTTAAAAAGAGTTTCCAATTTTGGTCTTCTGAAGTCCTTTTGCTTTTAAGTTTTGCTGATATTTGCTTGACCGAGACAAAAAGAGAATAGCTCTTTTACATCTTCTGGGAGAAGGTCAATTTTTCCATGAAGATCCTAAGAAATTATTCTTCCTGCAACTTAGGGACATCTGCACTTACAGATAATGATGTCTCTGCCATTACTAACCATTAGACTTTTAAAATACCAATAATTATCTTAAATCAAAGGTATAAATCAAATTTGGACAAGAAAG